CACCTCAGTTTTTTAGATGGCCTCTGGCCATGAAAATCAAAATACCATTTCACTTTTAAAATGTTAAACTTTTTCTTTCAGCATTTCTGCCTGTATTTGCAGCTTGACAGTAAGGACAGGTAAGAAATGTGAGGCGAAAGCAAAGAGGAAGACGTGCAAAAGGCAGGTGGCTGGGACATATAAATGCTGTGGTCACATTGGCATGTGCTGCAAACCACCAGAACACAGGAAGATCCCTCCCGAAGAAGCAGTTAAAAATATAAAAGGTGGTTCTATATGTGGTAATAAGAGCCTGACAAGAACAGAAATTTTTCAATACATCAGAAAAAAATTTTAAGAAAAAAAAATTTTTAAGCAAAAAAGTGGGGTAAGTGTATCCACTGAGACCACAAGCTACTGTTAGTTCTACAGTAATCAGACATTTATTAATTTAGGAAGAAAAACAGAAAATACAGGAGTTAATGTCAAACAACACACGAAATGAGGAACAATTAAATTTTGCTAACAACACAAGGAAGTAGAATCTTCACAGCAGCAATGGTGGTGCAGCACAGCTGACAGTGCTACTTACAGAGCTAGGAACAGGTTCCCTAAAGCCCACGCTGAGCTCATGACAGAAGATGTACAGCAGGAGGCGTTCACATTTCTGAGGACATAAGAAGAGAGAATTAGTTGCCTTGTATCAGTCACGTCAATGTGGATTACTGTGGTTGTTTTACTGACCCTTTGGTCCTCAGCACTCAGGCTCTGCTCTCCTTTGCCCTTCCTGCTATCATCACAGTACTCTATTTCAGGGTTGGTTATACTCCGACAAAACGTGCAGAGAAAGTCGCCCCTGTGACACACAAATAACACACAGCACATTCAGAATCGTATGGAAGTGTGTTTGGGGGTTTAAAGAGATCAACTTGTCTGCTCGTATCACAGCCTGTGACTATTATTTGGGTATTATATTACTAATGTCTTTTTTTTTTCTGTTGCATCTGTGACTTCCTGAAATCCACCCAACTACTTTTTAGTTTATTGTCCTTTTGAAGATTTATTGCATCTATGTTTCACAGAGTGACCTTGTAAAAATAGGATTTTAATCTAAAGCATTTGGGAGATCTGTAATCTTTTTTTAGGGGACGTCCAATCAATAAAATAAAATAAAACTCCATTGTAATCACTTACTTTGGAAATATTTTTATGGTGGGTACATGGCATTTCATGTGAAACACTTTGGGGCACCGGTCACAGCACAGCAGATCACCGCCATTGATACAAACAGCACACCAGTCTTCATTTGGGTCATCCTCTTTCCCTTCAACATTCCCGGTTCCAGTAGAAGCCTCACTCCTTTTGGTTTCTCCCCCTTTATTTGAGTTTCCATTAGTGAGTGGAGCGACTGTCGTGGTGCTGCTGCTCTCTGTGGATGACGAGGTAGTGGAGGTCATTGTGGTTGTGGAAGAAGATGATGCGGCAGTACTGGAGTCATTGAGTCCAGAACAAGGTGTCTCAGACTGAGGTTCCGTTTTGATGCGCTCGCCTAGAGCCTTGAGAGCGTCTTGGCCTGCAGATACAGCTCCCACTACAGGATGGGGGCTGTTCTCTGGACTGCTCATCTTCAGGGGAAAAGCACACACAAAGCAGTGTTTTAACGATAACAATGTTTGACAAAATAAAGACACTACTCTAACTAAATACAGCTTTGTCAACAGTGTTATCATATCACTTTCTGTTGAATTTGCAGTGCTGTACTGCAATATGATCTTATCACATTACAACTGTATATATCATACCATGCAGGCACTCCTTCCAGCATCTTTGCCCCGCTCTGTCTTCAGAGAAGAAGCTGGACAGCTATAGCTGTCATCTGTACCAGGCTCCTGCTTCACCGTCACCTGCTCCACTGCTGCTCCACCTCCTGGACCTCCCCTTCCTGCAGAACTACAGCTGAAACAGATAAAAACAAACCAAATTATCATGCTTCCTCATTTATGATATATAATTGACTTATTATGAATAAACCTGCATAACTGGAAAAGAACATGAATTTTGTTCTGACTCAGTCGTTTTTGTGAAGCACTATTTTTAATAGGTAGGCTTGAGAGGGTTATTTCATTTGAAATAACTTTTATTTGTTCCGCACTCTTATTTTTTTCTGTCCAAACAAACCTTTCTATTAATAAATGCAGAACAAAAACGCACGATTTCTGAATCAGAAGTATGGAGATACAAGAAGGAAAATGCAAAGTTGTCTGACTCCCGTTCCACACCACATACAGTTCTCATGTTAAGATGTAAATAACATAGCAAAGATTAAAATTACAGTTGCCAAATTTAACATCAAATTTAACAGTGAAAACACTGTGACATAGAGCACCTTTAATACATCTTGCCTAGGAGAAGCAAAGACTTCCTGAAATCCTGGATCTACAGAGGAGACACACTACTTGTTTTCTGGTGATACTCTGATAGGAGCATCATCTTATAGCAAGTTGAGTGCAGCTCAGACTTTCAACAGGTGACTAAATCAGCCAGTAAGATGTATTTGTTTTAATGTGGTTGTGTTGTCAGCATTTCAAAGATGCTAAATAGTCCTTCAATTAGTTTTAATACATTTGTCTGAATCTCAGCACACAGCAGACTCCTGTACACTCATCCTGTACACTCATCCTGTGCATTCATCCTGTTGCCTCCATCC